GTCAACATCAAAGGAATCTTCCACGGACCATGGACCAGTGGGCGGGACCGGAAGTGGTTTTGCGACGAAATGCATGGTAGGTACGGATCCACGTTCATGGGAAGGTTTGAAGTGAATCCTGTTCACGTTCGTGCGTTCGACACGTGGATCCGTACCTACCATGCATTTCGTCACAAAAACTTCCGGTCCCGCCCACTGGTCCATGGTCCGTGGAAGATTCCTTTAAGCAACGTCACTTTCTTGTCTTTTTGGTTCATGAGAAAGCGTTTGAATAACTTCCTTCATGCGCTCGCTGCAATCGAACTGAGTTCTTGCTGTGTGCAGCACTTCCTTATTGGCGACAACGATCTAAAATGCGAAAGTAACCGCTCAATAAAGCTGTCAAAAGCAGTAGAGAAGTAGACAGATAAAGTGCTCACCTTATTTAATTCACCAATCTGACTGGCCACATGCCAAGTTAGCCTCTCCGCAAGATACTTTCACCCCGTAGGTCCTATGATCTGAGCCAAGCATCGTAGTTCTAAACGATTTCTTTTTGAATACCAATCTTATGTAACTTATCACGAACTGTAGTTGTGAAATGGTTAGCTTGCCCTTCATGCGTGGCTCACGTAAGCAGAAGATTTGCGGTTGTGAAAGGAGTCATACCTCTTGGATCAGTATACTGCTCCGGTGCGAAGTCGTTTCCTTCGCCACTTGAATCATCGCCTGTAAATGTTCACTCCACAGCATATGACCAGCAGATGCACGGCGTAAAACCACTTCGAGATACCTGAATTCACGCAGCATAAGTAATAAGAAATTATCGCTACACACATTCGCAAAACTGACACCAACAACATCACTGTGACACTGTCTCATCTTCCTTATGCTTTACATGGACGTCAATAACGTCTGTCAGAGAGCTAGGCACCAAAGCCTTCATCTACGGCATGTATTTTTTGGGTTGTGTTACTCCTCAATATTTAGATCCGACCACAACTAACAAACAGTAAAATTTCTGTAAACGAAAAATGTTACCATTTTGTATAGATATACGTCATCGTTTCTTTGTTGCGTGAGTCCAACGGTTGTGTTTGCTGGAGCAACACATTGTTGAACAGCCGCGTTATATCCAACGGAACTGCAAGCATTCAGACCATTTAGGAGATCGGATACCACAGATTTAACCGCTAATTTGAAGAACATATTGGCGCTAAATCGCTTATCGAAAACCAAGTAAAAGAGAACGAAAGGGACAAAACAGTATTTTACAGACCGACTTTTGATGACGGTTCGAAAATAACTTGCACAAAAGTACACTTACCGCAAGCATCAATATTCTGCAGGACAGTCATGTAAGACTGGATGATCATTAAAAGATCAGATGGCCTCCGAGGAGTGGAAGATGCTTAAACGACTCTTTTGTATATGTACAGTCGAATACTAGAAGTTATAAAACACACCGGAATCGGTTGCCATAGCAAGTATGAGTTCAACGAATTTGTGCTCAATGTGTTGACTAAGGTATTCCCTGGGAGCGAAAAAGTGATCAGATATGAAAAGCTGACGATATTGACCCACACCCGCACAGAGTTCGACTGAAATGAAGACGTTAAAAATCCTGCTCTCTCGGACAATGGCACGTCGTCGTCCAATCGTAACCGTCCGCACTGATTCGATGAACGCATGCGCTAGTCTCTACTATGTTTTCGACAGATGGCGGTCGTCGTTAGATCGATACTACTAACGCTGTGCAATCGTTACGCATCGTTAAATAATCGGGACGACTTGACATGTATCCGCCTTCTGATAAGTCTTTCTCTGACGATATCACTAAATCAATACTAGCACAAAGTCGAAGAGTAACAAAGAGGATTTCTCTCAAAGACTAACTCAAAGTAGTGAGCAGCTTGTCTGGATAAGTCAGTGTCTGCCGATCCACGCGATAACTTTCTTCTCCAGCTTGAATAGGATCTTTTTGAGCAGCTGCAGCTGCTGCAGCGCTTTTGCTACCCTTGCTTCGCAACATCTGAGTAACGATCTGAGCGGCTATCTAGAAATACAAAGTATGCCGTTAAGGATATAACAAACGATTTAGTGATATCCCACTCACAGTACTCGGAGAAGTTTGCTCTGCCAGTCGCAACTCGTACTCGCATAATGCTCCCACAACGTCGGTAATTGATTGGCATACGTCGTCCAGGATTGAGTTACATATGGCAAGGGACTGAAAGAACCAGAATGAAACGCCAAAAGAAATTTCAAAGTTGCGAGGAATGTATTGATCGAGAGATCCAAAAAGCAGAAAAGTTGGATATCTATGAGGGAAGAACAGAAATATTCACAAAATGAAGATGAAAAAATACAAGAAAGTAATGTGAAGAAAACAAATTAGAGGGCAAGACATTGACAGAAAAGTAACTTGATTTTTAGCTAAAGGACAAAGAGAAGAAAAATCAGGATGAAGAAAGTGATATACAGGGATAGAGAAAGATGACACGAAAAAAAAAACATAATACACGATGTGCGAACAAGAAAACAGAATGAAGACAAAGTAACGTAAGAAACAAAAGAAATCCTGGTAAAAGAAAAAAGAGAAGACGGTGAAAATAGGAAACTGCACATAAATCTTCGGAGTAGAAACACAGAAAAAAAGAAGAAAAAGAAATAGAAAGAAAAATAGGAATAGGGAAAAAGGAGTTAACCAATTGGAAAAAGAGAAGAGAGCATTAAAGACTCTTTGAAAGAACTCTTGTATTCAAAAGAAGCACACTGAGAAGAGGAAAAGGTTTAGGAAAGTTTACGAATCACCAAATACCTACCTTCTCAAGTATGTGATTTTTTTCTTCAGGACACATATCATGCAGGGCAGAACTGAAATGCCCGCAAATTCTAGCAAAGCAGAGAGCAAATCGTGACTGGGACGGAAGTGTGAGACAACTTTTCCATTGTCTTTCCAAAGTTCTAATGTAGAACCTGAAATTTTTTACAACTGGGATATAATGATTTCAGGACATAAATATGTCGCACTACCAGTAAACACTGAGATCACTAGTTTCTTTGAGCATCTCATCTTGCAGATCAATCATTTTCAAATGGAAAACGTTCGTGTTCATTACGATAGCCAGCTTTCGGTTTTTCTGCAGCGAGCATGCTGACCTTGCCATGCTCATTTTTGCCTAAGAGACACGATTTTAAAAAAAATTATCCATTTTCAACCAAGGAATGGCAGATAGAAGACAGCATATTCCAATTTCGAGAGCAACTATCACAAATAGGTTTTTTGCGCCCTCAAATAAAGAGGCAAGTGGTAGAGTAGGTTGCGGCCTTGGTCGGTGCCCACTGATAGAAATAAGATCTGATGAAGATGAGGCTTACCAATGAATTGAAATCCACGCCAAAATATGCAATGCGCGCTTAGGATCGATTATCCTACTTACTATAAAGCGCTTCGTCTGTCGTCTTTCTGTCTGTCGTTCTGTATGTCTGTCACGAAATTCCCTAGCTCCTCGGGATCCCTGGAGAGACCGGGTCAAGTGTGAAAATGGGTGGGCAGGTCTCTGAAGTTCAATAACACACATCAGCTAAGCGGAGCCCCGCCTACAGTGGGCGTGGCGTGCGTCGCGAAATGAACTGTACCGACGACCATGATTTCAATTTCAGTGAAAAAACGACCTCGAAACTGGGCCAAAAAGTGGGTAAGGTGTGCATTGGTAAGTCAACATCGAATTAGGGAGACCCACCCCCGGTGGGCGGGGCGTTCTCCAAAAAAGCAGTGCTTTATGAAAAATTTCATAACTCGGTTGGGAGAAAGCCTACAGAGCAGAAAAAATTGGTGTAGTGTAAGGGACGTTGATTGTGGTTCCATAAGAAGACGTGGACGGGGATCCCACAATGGCGGAGCGCGCTCTGAGTACAAGCTTCTACAAGTCCTCATAATTCGGGCCGGAGAAGTCTTACTGAAGCCGGAAAAAGGTTGGATAGAGGTGGGTGAGGAGTGGAGGCCAACTGTCATCGGTGAGGCGGGGCATGACCAAAGTGGGCGGAGTTTGCGACGGAAGCTCATAACTCGGTTTCGTGAAGTCCTGGAGATCGGGGAGGGTTTATAGAGGTGGGTGAAGGTGGAGAGGTCAAAACCGTCCTGGTGGGCGGTCACGTGAAAATTCATAACTCGGTGTAAGACGCCTTAAGATGGTGTCAGGATACACAAAAAGCAAGTTCCCGTTAAAATATAATCGCTCAGAGATAGTTCTGAGATGGGGTGAAAAGTCGAAAGATGTTGGCGAGGAAGAAAAAGATAGGTGGACACTGCAAAGAAATAGGCGGAGCACGAGATTTATAAATCGGTCCAGAGGCAGTCCGAGACCGGGAAAAGCGGACAATTGGTTGACGATGGCGGACAATTGGTGGACGAAGGAGGGAAGGTCAAAAGCCATCGGTGGATGAAGCATGGGGCAATCGGATAGAATTCAGCTTGAAAGTCAAATATTCGAAGTGTATTGGGCCAAATTCGAGAATTTACGCCGCACCATCCCATATCGCCGCAGAACTGTGCTGTGCGCGCAACGCGTGCGGCGCCAACTGGTAGTTTAATATGCTCTTTTCATTAATGTTCGACCAGCAACGACATGTGCATTCATTTTCAAGTGCAATAGTCCAAGTCTGCGCAGTTGCAGTGTGCGTCTTTGAGAGTTAAAGAACTAGGGCAAAAGGGATTTCTGTGCAATGATGGCAGAAATAAAAAATGATATGAAACCAAACAAGTCTAGAAGCGTTTTGGTGAAAAGAGATAAGTAAGAAGTACATAGTGCCGCTTAAACCAACAGCTATTTTTACTTTATTCCGGGGTGTCTATACGTGAACAGAGACAAAAAAAAATCGAACGCAAAAAGTAGTAATATAAAATGAAATATAAATAGATGGAATGTCACACAAATAAAAGTTAAGCAAATTTTCAAAAGAAAAAATATTATAAAAGGGAAAAACGTGCACTGCTAACCTGGAAACGGAACCAGTCCAGACGCAGAGCTCGCAGGTCGGTGTCGGAATTAATCGAGGATATCGATGTGGCAAAATCAGATAAAATAGCTGTGTCCTCCTCATTCAGATCGCCAATAGCGGATACCAATTCACGAGTCATGATGGCATCGTAACCGTTCACATACTTAAAGACAAAATTGCACTGATGTAAATAAGAGCTCATTAGAAAAACAACATGAACAAGATTGACCTTCAAATAATACCGCTGTATTACATCGCTATGCTTCGTTACTAATTGCCTCAACTCAAGCATGTAGTAAAGAAGCTCAGGTAGCTGACGATCCACCAGCTCATCACACTGTTTGCTTCCTTTTTTATTTGATGAAGGCCATTCACTGAGATGCCGGAGAAGCCATAATACCTTGAAAACAGCTTTAGTAACTAGAATGAAGCAAAAAGAAAGTAAAAAAGGCATTACTTCATCTCTGGTGAATGAGAGCGCCATCCAGACAAACAGAATTTTCGGGCCCAGTAAACCAGGTTGATCTTTAATAAAAAGACAAAGTTCACGAAGTGCAACACGGAGAAATCGTCGACGATCAGCGTGAATAGAGGCGCTGAAAAATCATTTTTAGAGTTTACGGTCCACTGTATAGCGATCACGCCACGTACCTTTGTTGCAGTGCTATCGAGAAACAGTCCTTGACTTCCTGAGATCGCTTATGATATCCCTTTATAGAGTCGAAAAACTGCTGTATTTCGTGATGAGTTTGGAGAACCTGTAGTGTATTCGAAAGTTTCACATAGATGAAGCAGTTCACCGATCATGTGGTTCTTATAGTGGATATTAGATTACCTCATCTCTGAACAGTCGTATGCAAACACCCATTTGAAGAGACATCTGCCATAGATTAAATATGATCTTATCGTTTAACAAAGAGGAATGGCATACAGTTGTACATACTTAAACAGATCAATTTAAAATCCAAGATGAAATTTAAGGGAACACTGTCGCAACTCACAGACAATCCATCGATCCATAACATCCAAAGAGAGATATTCGCACGCGATCTAAAACAAAAATGTATGGATTACCAAGAGGTAGCTGATATGTCGCGCTGTATTTATTCAGAACAAGTTCCTCAGGTACTCTGCGTACACAAGTTATGGGTAACCAGGTTGGTCTCCCAGCAACCGCCGGAACCTTCTCTTCCTGCGTAAGCTTTGCGTTCCTCCTCCCTCCTTATCCTCCCCTCCTCCCTCCACTGCTCTCCAGCTGCCACTGCAGCACCTTGTGGAATGACGGAAGTGTGCTAAGTAGGTGTATAGCCGTTGGAGTGTTATCACAATCATGCCATTGCAAAACATTGATATCTCAAGCCCTGCGAGCTACCCAGATTTGTTAGCGGTTGTTTATTCCATTAGCTTCCTTATCACTCACTTCATTTTGCGGACGGACACACATACATACATACACATACAAACCGACACACAAAGTTAGCAATTTATACGATAGAAGGATTTTTGTCGCGTCCCGAAACTCTCGTATCTCTACTTGGCCCTAAAGTCTCTTGAGTTTGAGCGCTCTTTAGGGAACGAGAAACCAGATTACTTCAGCTTCTCCACAATGTAGTGAAGTCTCAGTGAATGCGAACTCAATACTCACACAAGCGAAGAAGTCCCTAACGTATGACAACACTGCTGCAACGGCAGCCGTAAAAGTATGGCATAGAAAAAGATTACCACTTACCGTATCCGTTTGAGCTGCGTATAAAATTTGATGGGGATTGGCCGTAAGAGAGAGAATTTGAGCATTCCTCCATGTATTTGCAGTAATATTTCGACGAAGATAGACAGGAGAAAGGGACGAAAGCGCTGACGAAATCAACTGGAAGTTCAAAATGATTAATTGATGGGTGCGATTTCGCTAGAAATTCTTCAACGGATTCAACGAAGATAATCGAGGACGACTGCGACAGAGCTATGCAGTATTTAATCGGCAATTCTTGTAAAAATTACGCATGTCACTTAGTTTATGCATTTTAGAGGAGCTACAGAAATAGCATAACTAGTTCACTTATTATTTTACCTCAAATAGTGAACTGAAGCTAAAGTTACTTGCATGAAACTGGCTTAAAAAACTTATATTATTGATAAATATTATTATATTATTGATAAACACCTACTCGATTCAAGGGTCCAAGGTCTTCGCTAAGTTTCTTCAGAGGATGCTCGTAATCCAGAATCATTTGACCTAAACGTGGAAACGAGGCTTCGCTTTGCACGTGCGTCAAATCATATGCAGCATTGAACAGTCCTGAAAAAGTCATTTACTATTCCATTATTTTGAGATTATGTTTACCTTTTAATAAAACCCACCCAAAACAACTTTACGATCATCGACGCGAGAGAGAAGAACCATCAGGCAAATAAGATTTACAACCAGATTAAGGTATCCTGCTGTCAGTTCATAATTAAGCGACTAAACACATAAAGCTTCTAATTCAATATAAGCAGAAGAAAGGATTTCAATAGTTTTTCCGCTATTCAAGTGGCACCCACAATGTCGAGCTGACACTGACAAGCATCCATAGTTGTCAAAAGTTGCAGTATATTATCCTTCAGATCCATCAGATCAGCAAATGTGTAGTAGTATAAACCCAGAGATTTAATTATATCCTCCTTCATGGTGTCAACATAGTGGAATGTGGACTAAAAGAGATATAATAGGAATGTATTTGAAAGTGGAACAGTGGAAGATTCATCATAGAATCAATAGAAAGTGAGCCTACGGTGTTCATCCTGGCGTCAACAACAGGGAATTTGCGTGCAATATGTTTAACGGCATTCTCCATATGCTTATCACTGAGAAAGGCCGGTTTCGACTTGGGATCTTGAAAGGAAATAATTAGTTCGATTAATGTTGTGCCCAAAAAGTTAAAATGGAGAGACAATAACGCTTATTCGCTTCACTTACCTGCACACGCCTTTTTTATGTTATAAATTCTTGTCAACATTCCAACAGCACGATCATTAAGAATGACGAGTTTCTCCGCGATTTTGAGTTGACTTGATTCCATTTTGAAAGCCATGCTTTAGAAGACAAGCAACGCTCGTCTTCCAAAATATACTTCGCGAACCACCTGCGTATTAATATAAATATAAGCAGAACGAGAAATACCAAAATCACGTGCCATTACACTACGACTGAGTAGAACTTGTTCGGTACTGCGGCACAGTACAATTTGCAAACAGGACGTAAGATTACTTTTTTAGAATTCAGATTCGTTGGCGAAAACAACTTCGTCACAATCACTGTGGAAGTGAGAATGCGCAATAACATCGAATGATTATGTGCTCCAAAGACAATTTGCAGTTAAAGGGTGCGAAAGGTATTTGAGGCAGTGGTCTTGCCACGACTGTGCTACAGTAAATTTAGTTACTGGCTTAATTTGTTGAGGGTTGTGCACATTACCTAAGAACTTTTTATTTCATAGATGTTTTTATTGTTTTCGCCTTCTATATTTTGCTGAAGCGAAAGTAGAAGGATGTGTCTTTCCGATAGGTGCCCAACATGTAGATGCGGCCGCTGTCGGGCATTGGTGTACACTTTTTTTTGAGTCGCCCTTATGTAATCTATGATCGAAGTATCCTCTTTCTCTATCGACGTTGTCATAGTTCGCTTACTCAACGTTGTACTCTTCAGGTAATATGCCTCCAAAGGCAACAAAGAAAACTGATCCCAAAGGAGGGAAAGCCCCTCCTAGCAAAAAGAAGGAGGGATCCGGAGGAAAAGCCAAGAAGAAGAAGTGGTCTAAGGGAAAAGTCAGAGACAAGCTTAACAACATGGTCTTGTTTGATCAAGCCACTTACGACAAGCTTTACAAGGAGGTATGGACTTACTCGAAGAGTTCTTTTACGTTTTGACGCTCGTTATTTAAAAAAATTTTGTAGAATACAATTTGAGGAGCT